AAGATCATATGTCAAATCGACTAATCCAAATTCTGCTATTAATGAGAATGAACCATCTTCTATTTGAACTGCAAAGTTACTGGTGCATGGGTTAAAATTTTTTAAGATGATGACATCTCCCATTGTATTATTGAGGCTCCAAAGCCAACTATCCAAGATTTAAATTTAGTGTTTTGGACACTAAAAGCATTCGATAAGATATATTGGTGCGCTAACAAGCTGATAGGTTGTTCGGCAAAGGATTTTGATGCTTCCCTAGAATTGGGGTTGAATATTCTCTGCAGTGCCTTAATTTACTCCCTAGTGAATAGGCTAAATTCTGAATTATTGTTGGTTGTGGCAGCAACATTTTTTATTTGATGGCTTCCAATCTGCAAGTTTTCAGTGTAATTTCAACACTTTTCCTTCACATGACCAAGTTTCTTACAATGGTCGCACCATGATCGTCCTTTTATGGGCTTGTTATTCTGAGAGGAGTTTTGAGTGTACAAGACTAGTTCTTCAACATTTAATGCGGTGTGGTTGCTATCATCATCAACTTCTTTTTGCTCTCCTCTCTTTGAACTTCTGCAAAAGCCTATAGGATAGTGGGGATGGGTTTTATCCCCATAATTCTCCCCTTAACTTCATTAAAGTCATTATTGAGGCTAAGGAAGAACTTGATTGTTCTCTTTTCTTCAATAATATTCTTCTATACAAGGCAGAATCATCAGGACATTTCCTATGGCAAACCTCATATAAGTGAGTGTATTGACATATTAAGTGAAACTTAATTCTCCTTATCGCAGAACATCGTCTCAATTTCAAATAACTCTTGAAGAATTTTCAGTGCTAGAGTAGGTTTCACGTATAGCCTCCATATTTCCTTGGTTGTCCTATAGAGCAGGAAACTTTATCCAACAACCTCCAAGATCATGGAATTTATTAACCATGACATGATTATGTGGTTGTCAACTTTCCAAACCCGATGTTTGGAATCTGTCATTTTTTGTATTGAAGTTTCGCCTATGAGATGTTCCTCTTTCTTTTTGCCACAGATGTACATGAAGACAAACTTGGACCATATAAGAAAATTGTGGTCATATAATTTATGGTTCGTGACTAGAAGAGAGGATTTATCATGCATGATAAGAGTTGAAGACGTGGGCTTGGATCTTGAGGTGAATTCCGAGGAGAAAGATTGTGAGGCCATTTCGTCCTTGATCATGATTAGATAAAAGTAAGAGGACCGTTACTTCAACTGTTTAGCTAGATGACCAAATAGAATCTAGCGAGAGGTGATCGGGCCTTTTCAAGTTAGCGACCTGTGAGGTCTCGGCTAGAGCAAGGGAAATTGATGATTGAAATCCAAAATATTTGTTGACTTAGCCACCAATTTAGCCAACTGAAAAAAAAAGATGAAGTTTGGTTCTATTCGAGTTGGATGTGAGGGGACGAGTGAATTAACAAAATGCTCAGTTTTGTTCGAGCCAGACGTGCGGAGACTGAGCCTGATGTGAAGAGACAAGCCCTACGATCTCGTTCATAAGGAGACGCGAGAAGAAGAGTTGAAGACGAGACAATTTGTGTGTCAACGACAACTCCAAATATCTTCATCCGTTTCGATTCTTGCGAACGAGAGGGGTGGAGATGGAGACGTCGCTGGAGACAAAAATGTCGAAGATAGAGAATGGAGACGACGCTAAAGAAGTCAAAGGCAACATCAAAGACAGTCGTTGAAGGTGTGAAGATCGAAGCGTCATTGGAGACACGATCAAGATGAAAAGAACGGCTCTGCACGAGATGCAGGGAAACCATGACACACTTCGGCATCGAAGATGAGCAGTGGCTATGATTGGGAATGAAGACGAAGGAGGATTCTAAGTTTATATCTCTGATACCCGTGGAACCCAAAAAATAATTTTATCCTATCGTTTCTCATACATTACACTACACAACATATATATAAATAACAAAAGAAATAAAACAGGAGACTCTCCAAATAGAGAAGAACATAACATAGAAAATATAAATAAAGGAAAATGTCATTACTTGAAAATATTCCTAATGAGGATTTTCACTTTCCTACAAAAATCTTATAATATCATCATCATATGTCGTCATGAACTCTAGTTTAATTAATTAGAAAATGTAGTCTACCCAACCTGACTAAAATAATCTTGTCAATGGCCATATGTTTCTTTATACAATGGTTATTAGATGAAGAGTTGGACACCGATTACAAGGTCAATTTCAAACAATATAAACTAACATAGGATTTTATTCCCTATCAAATGCATTAAAAACCACCAAAAGCTTGAATGCATAAAATTAGGGAATAGATTGGATTTTAATCGTAACAATAATACAATAGTATCATCTCAATCAAGCAAGCAACTTAATTAGAGATAATATGCCATGTCGTTGTTGGCTTAAAATTTCGAGTTTGGTTTGTTGAATTACATTGATAGAGTATTAACTTTTGCAAACTTGGGTTAAATCTAATCTCGACATGCTTGGCTAACCAAGTGAAGAAAATGAAGGTTGTTTTAAGCATGAAGTGACATTTTTCTATATTTTCCTATATTTTCATTTTTAATATAAATATATATATATATATATATGTATATGTATATCTATATATAGATGTATATATATATGTATATGTATATATATATGTATATATATATGTATAT